GCAGTCCATGTTCAGGTCCCGGCTGTTGTCCATCTTGACGATGACCGAGGTGTCTGAGATGTGGGCATGGAGAACCTGGAGCTCCTGGGGGCCAACAGTCAATGCGTTTGGGTCTGGTGCTTGGTCTGGGCCATGGGCTCCACCCCTAGGGGCAGTGTCCACTCTCTGGAGGGGGCACTGGTCATGCATGTTACATGACTCCTGCTCCACGTGCTTCCCTTTCCCCCCTTCATTCACACACAGGTACGTCATAAAACAAGAAAGCTGGGAGGGGCCCCAAAGAGGAGCTGGGGACATCTCCATGCACTTAACAAATGGGAAAACTGAAGCCCAGCAGGTGGAAAAGACCTGACTCAAAGTCACCCAGCTGGGTAGCTGGGGTTTGAATGCCGAGACCAGTGATCTGTCCATTCATTAAGACCTCCTCTCTAACCGGAGACCCACCCTGACCACCGCCACCCTCACATATGTACTTTCATATCCATGTACAGACTGACACGCCCCCAGACCAGCACATGGGCACACACTGCAACAACAACTCCACAGACCTGGGGAAGCCCAAGCACGCACACACTCTCCTCGGCCCTGAAACATGCGTGCCAGGCTCTCCCTGGGTACATACATACCCGTGTCTGTCACAGCCGTGCAACATGGCTCTCTCAGATGTGTGTGCATGTTCTCTTGTGCGCACATCACCCACATTGGGAAAACATGTGCACACGGTGCACTGTCTCCCCTCTTTCTCAGGTCCCCCACCTCCCCTCTACCTGCCCTGGCTGGTCGGTAGGGGCCCCCTTACCTCATCGTAGAGGCGCTTCAGGAAGCTAGACTCCTCCACCAACGCCTCCACATTGGCCTCCAGGTCTGATTTCCGCAGGTAGGCGCAGTCCACGTCCTGGTGGTGGAGGGAAAGGGAGGGCGTATGTGTGTGGGAGGCCTCTGCGGTCAGTGTGGTGACCGTGCCCCGACGGAGGCTGGCCAGATGGGTCCCCCTCCCTCCCTGCCCCATGATCAGCCCCCTCACCTTCTTCAGAACCACGAACTCGTTCTCTGCCGTGGCTCTCAGAGCCACCTCCTCTTCATACCTGGGTTTGGGAGGGTAGAGAGGGGTCACAGCTGAGGGGTTGGGGCTTGGATACTATCCCAGCTTCCAGGCAAGCTCTCCCAGGGCTCAAAAGGGATTGTCCCTGTGAACGTTATCTTGTCCTCTCCATGGTCTAGTTTGTGCATTATTTCACTTGGGCTAACCCTTGTCCCAGCCTGGCTCAATCCATCCCAGTCCTGCTGTGTCTGGGATGAGATCAGGGAATGCATACTCTGTTCCCTCTGTGAATCCTAGAGCCAAAGAGAGCCAGTGCCCTGGGCAGTGAGAACACAGAGCGAACATCATAACGCCAGCTGGGCCGCGTAGGAACACAGACAACTGTAGAACTCCATTGGGTTTCCTCTCCTCACTCCCCGTGAAAGCATCTCTAAGCTCCACAGGGCCTCCAAGGTGTAGAGTGGGGCCAAAGAATCGAAGAAACCCAGGCCCCGCCCCAGACAGTCCCTTCCTCAGGTTCCAGGCAGCCCCTGCTGCTAGACAGGCAGGATTCTTAAGCTGCTTCAACGAGGTTGAGGATGGAGGCTTCCTACTCTCCCTGTGTTCCCCCAGCCCGGCCTCACTCACTTCTTCTTGTAGCCCTCCAGCACCTCCTGCACGTGGTTGAGCTCCGAGGCCAGCCTCCCGCTGTCGGCCTCCACGCACTCGGCCTCCCGCCTCAGCGTCTCGATGTAGCCATTGAACAGGGGCTCCATGTTGCTCTCACAGCAGCGCTGGTTCTGGTAGAACTGCCACTTGGTCTCCAGAAGCTTGTTCTGCTGCTCCAGGAAGCGCACCTGCCGCCCAGGGTGTGAGGATGGGACTCAGGGGGAACCCAGGAGGTGCCTGGTGCCCTGGCGATCTTTCTGCCCTTGGTCCTCACTGAATAGCCAGGGCCAGCCAAGGGCCAAGCATGGGGTTGAGTCTCTGTGACTCAAGGGGACCTGCTCCCGGCCTCCAGGAGGCACTGTGGGTGTGGGGGAAAGCGCCCTGGGGCTTGAGGCCAGAGGTCTGGTTCAAGTCTAGGTCTGCCACTTTAAGTGGGCAGGTCGTCTAACCTTTTGGGGCTTTGTTTTCTCATTTCTAAACCAGAGATGATAATAGTGCCTCCCTTAGAGTTGTAAAGACTGAACAAGTTAATACATGCAAAGTGCTTAGAACATTTTTGACACATGGTAAATGCTCAACTAATTTAACCATGACTATAATGAGCAGTTCCTCATTTATTAAATTATGCAACACTTACTGAAAGTTTAGTGTGTGGTGCTAGGGCCCATGCTAAGACACACAGACACACACACACACACACACACACATGCACATACCTGTCTATATCTACAGTCGACCTGGAACAATGCAGGGCTTAGGGGCACTGACGCCTCCCCTCCCCGCCCCCACACAGTTGAAAATTTGCATATAACTTCTAACTCCCCTAAAACTTAACTACTATTAGCCTCCTGTTTGATGGGAAGCCTTACTGCTAACGGAAATAGTCGAGTAACCTGTATTTTGTTTCTGTATTAAATATTGTATTCTTCCGACAAAGTAAGCTAGAGAAAACACGTTACTAAGAAAATCACAAGGAAGAGAAAATACATTTACAGCACTGCACTGTATTTACCAGAAAAATCCTCTTATAAGTGGATCTGTTCAGTTGCGACCCGTGCTGTTCAAGAGTCAACTGTGTATGTATCTCTATCGGTCTCTACCTACCCGTCTATCAATTACATTCCATTCTCACAACCCTTCAGGAGGGGCAGATATTATAACCCTTCTAGTACAGATGGGGGACACTTGGATACCTAGCTCATTGCCCCACAAAGGTAAGTGAGAGTCGGGGTCTGCTATCTCTGGAGTCTCCTTCCCCTGCCCCACCATAGTATGCCTAAGCAGCTCCTCTAAACTGTCTCAGCTTCAATTTGATATTTAAAAAAAAAAAAAAATGAAGGGGCGTCTGCGTGGCTCAGTTGCTTAAGCGTCCGACTCTTGGTTTCAACTCAGGTCATGATCTCATGGTTTGTGGGCTCGAGCCCCACGTTGGGCTGTGTGCTGACAGTGCGGAGCCTGCTTGGGATTCTCTCTCTTTCCCTCTCTCTATGTCCCTCCCCTGCCTGAGCATGCTCTCTCTCTCAAAATAAACAAACATTAAGCAAAATGGAGATAATAACACCTACCCCACTGGGTCATTCTGAGGATGAACTAAACTCACTAAGATCCCCTGACTCCAACCCCAGAGCTGGGTCCCATCTATTCTGCCAGAGTGAGGCCACATGGACAGAGGGGCCAGCACAAAGGGAGAGGCATGGGTGGCTTTCTTGGGAGGCAGCCTCATGGCATCTGTGGGGTTCCTCCCACCGGCCTGGGTGCCCCTCTTCCACATTCCCAGCCCTCCATCCGTGAAGGCGGCTGTGCCAACCTTGGCTGGTTAAGTGTCACACCCCCTCGTCCACTATCGTCCTGGGAGAATAATGCTAACAGCGAATGTTCATTGAGCACCTACTACGTGCCAGCGTTTTTCAGGCACGAACCCATCAATGCTCACGACAAGCATGTGAGGCTGGTTCTGTTATCCAGACAAGTCACAAGCCCGAGGTCTCACGCTGCCGAGGGGCAGAGCAAAGATAGGGAGGTGGCGTGGCTGCGAGCCGTGCCCCCGCCCCCACTTCCCCCGAGCTGCCTGGCGGGGAGCCATATGCCTTTTACTCTTTAACTCTCCCCCTTTTCTCCCACACTCGCAGCAGCCAGTGCCCAATCCAGTTTTGGGGGCCACCTCTGATATTCCTGTGTTGTCTTGTCTCCAGAAGCACACACACACTTTAGATCATAGACTCCGTTTCTGGACCACACCGGGCCCTCGGTTGCACTTTGTTGGAATTAAGAGACAGAAACCGATCCTTTGCCTATGTTGGCCTGCAATTCTCTCCCTCTGTCTCAAACCTGGCTCCATGCTGTCTCCCCAACACACGGGGACCTTCCCAAGGGGAGGACAGGCCAGGGCCTTCTCTGGATCATCATCCCAGGCCTCACTGACCTTGTCGATGAAGGCAGCGAACCGGTTGTTGAGACACTTGATCTGCTCCTTCTCCTCATGCTTCACGCACTGCGCATTGGGGTCGATCTCCAGGTTGAGGGGCGTGAGGAGGCTCTCGTTGACCGACACGGTGGTGATGCAGGGCGGGCTCGGCCCGCACACGCCGCCGGAGCGGTAGCCGAAGGTGCGGCCGCAGGAGCCGGCGCGGAAGCCGCCCACGGCCATGCGGGGCCCGCAGGAGCCCAGGTTGGAGAGGCTGCGGCTGCCGAAGCCCGTCAGCCCCCGGTAGCAGGACACCCCTCGGTAGGGTGCCGCGCTGATGCAGCAGCGATTGCCAGTTTTGGGGGCCACAGCCGAGCAGGAGCTGAAGGTCCTGGTGACCCCACATCCTGGGCTGATCCGGTAGGAGCGGCAGGACATCGTGCGGGTCTGAGCAGAGGCTGAGTGCCGCGGGAATGAGCGAAGTCTTCGGTGCGCTGCTTAGGATCCTCTGGCCTCTCTGATCCTCCCTGGTCCTTTTATTGGTGGGGAGAGCTGGGGTTGGCTGCATAAAAGGAGTGAAAAGCCATTTTATGTTGTTTATTGGCTTGGGGAGTTTGCCAGCAACTCCCCAAAGACTCATCTTAAAGGTGAGCTCAGCGGCGACTCGGGGCCTCCGTAAAAGTATTGAAGATGTTATTAGGGACACTGTGTTTGCACTTTTCATCTTCAAAGCTCGTTTACGTACATTAAGTAATTAATTTTCTCTCAGTCTCAGATGGCCCCAACCCACACTTGGAGACGGATTTGAACTCCATAACTGTCTGAGGTGGCTGGCATTGGGGTCGAGGCTGTGGCCGCTGTCTCAAGTGGGGGAGGTCTAGGGCCCCAGTTGGGGCGAGATCCCGCGAACGCATTACCTCTGTCCTTCCGGGCTCCACGCAGGACACGTTCTCAAGTAAATCACTGTGATGGATTGGGCAAGTCGAACCCACCCAGGCGTGATTGCCTGGAAGGTGGTTCAGATCCGTGGGACCGTTTTGACCATGCTCCCTGTAGGACAGAGGGCTAGAGCACATGGTCTCTTAGAACCTTCTGGATTCCAGCCCAGAGGCTCTGTTTCAGAGCCTTGGCTTCTCACCCAGCAATTTGCAAACCACTCAACTCTCAGTGGCCACAATAACGGCCACTTGCGGATAATGGGGAACCTTTCCTCTTAGCCACTTTCTCCCAAGGGACGGCAAGGAGGGAAGAAGTCAGTCCTGGAATAACCTGGCTTCTGCGAACTTGCTTTAGCCACTTTCTCCCAAGGGACGGCAAGGAGGGAAGAAGCCAATCCTGGGATAACCTGGCTTCTGCGAACTTGCTTTGGGCACCTTCTCTTGGCTCTTTAAGAAGAAACGGGTTCTCTGAGTCTCTCTTCCTGCCAAGACTACCAGCCAGAGGAGGGGCGCATCTTGTCACTGTCATCCCTAGAGAAACCTTTAGAGATGGGGGCAGGAAAGAGGCTTTTTTCTGTTCAGAGGACATCGTGATTTCTGGCTCCCAGGGGCTGTGGGAGCCTAGCTCCTCCTAACGTCCCTGTTTCCTGTTTATCCTGGAGCCACTTATTAGGATAATGATTGCTATTCTTTTAAGGTTCCTTGAGCACAAAGCTGGGGGATGTGGTCTTTGCCCCCAGGGAGGCCAGCTAGGCACCCGAGGTGTTAGGAGCTTCTAGAAGAAGGGAAGAAGGGCAGAGGAATTTCCTCGGAGGGGTGACAACCCCTCCGGGGAGCCTCCCAGAGCCAATCATTGCCACTGCCTGCATCCTCCCTCAGGTGCCTGAAGGTCTGTCCTGGGCCTGCTCTCATCTCCACAGATGCCCCCCCCCTGTAGATGCCCCTCCCTAACACACCCCTGCCCCCCCCCCAAGGTACCAGCAGGGTAGATTTCTGCCCCACCCATGGTCTTCACCTCCTCTGCACATTTATGACTTCTTTACCCTTTCAAGGCTGCTTTTAATGTTTCCTTTAACCTGATTTCACTAGTATAAAAATTGGAGGTGGAGTCTGGGGGCGGAGAGAGGAGTTCAGGGGCTGATTCCCACCCCTTGGTGGGGGTGCTGCTGTCCTGGGTCCAGGGATGTATTCTGGCACCTTGGACAGTAAGCTCCTGACTGCCTGTTGTGTAGACCTGGATCTGGTGTGTAGGCCAAAAAGGATTTGGGCCCTTTGAACATGGTGGGGGGCCAGGGGGAGGGAGGATGGGCAGGTGTGGGAGGTGGAAGGTGGGTGGACTTTCTGCTCAGCTGGAAAGTCAATGACCACAAAACTCTTCTCAACTCTAGTAAGCCTCTACTCTCCTTCAGCTTGTTGAAAAGGATGGACCTAGATCCATTTCTGCCTCTCCATGGGGGCAGGGGGGCAGGAGGGAGTGGAGGCTTTGTCCCAGAGGGCCTCCCCTGAGGGGAGGCTCCTGGTCATGCCCAACACACATGCCTCCACACACACACCCTCCCGGGCCTCCACCTCAAATTGGGCCTGGGCACTGAGGATGGGGAAGGGGATGCTGGGGGACTCAGGAGACGTGGGGAACAAGGGCTTGAGTGTTTCAGAGTGAGCCAGGCTCCAGCCTGGCATAGGGATGTTGTGTGAACCATGGTTTACATAGGCGAAGGGTAAGTTTGGCAGCCCAGGTTGCTGGCATATCGGCAGACTGTGGGGGCTGCTGGAGAAGTCTGTCTGCATGGTGATTTGGACTGGAGCCACCAGGCCAGTCTGACACAGCTGCCCCGGTTGCTGGAGTGTTAAGACCCATGGGACCTGGGTCTTTGCTGTCTGTTCTGGTCTCAAGAAAGGGACAGAGAAGCCATAGACCCATGCCTGGTTCTACTCATTACCCATGACCACCTCTGCTTATGGGACCAACTCTGGGGTGAGGGTCGACCTCCCTTCACTGGCCTCCTTCTCTTTTTAACTTTTTTTTTTTTTTTTCCAACGTTTATTTATTTTGGGGACAGAGAGAGACAGAGCATGAACAGGAGGGGCAGAGAGAGGGGAGAGACACAGAATCTCGGGGCTCAGGCTCTGAGCCATCAGCCCATCTTCCAAGCCGGCCTTCCAATCACGGACCACGGATCGTGACCTGGCTGAAGTCGGACGCTTAACCGACTGCGCCACCCAGGCGCCCCTGCCTCCTTCTCTTTTACTGCCACTGAGCCCTATAGGTTCCCAAGCCTCCTCTCTGGTCACACCTTTCCCTGGAATGTTCCTAAATGGCTGGCCACCTCTTCCAGGAAGCCTTTGTGAACTAGTCAGAGGGAGGCTGTGACTTCTCCTCCTGTCTCAGCAGACAGCTTGTAAAATGCCGTTTCCAGGGCTTCCCAGGTAACTCCAATTATCTCCTTCCACACCCATTTGTCTTGGGTGCTGTCATTCATCCCCCTCTTTGGTCCTGTCCCCGCCTGCTCCCATATCTTTTGAAGGCCACACCCAGTGTCGGGAATGTGCACTTCATAACCCACATCTCTCTTGCAATGTGAAATGCTCTTAAGAGGTCACTTCTTCCAGGAAGTCTTCGAGACCTAATTGAGTGAGAGAGATGCTTTACCCCACCCTGGAGACCCAGGCAACTTGCTCACTGCCTGCACAGCCCATTCAAGTTGGGCACCGCCCATCATCTCTGCTGGTCTCCACACTTTTGAATCGACACCATGTCCTGGTGCTGGGACACCGATCTTTAAGGGTTTTCTAGCCCCGTGACACTTTCTTTGGCTTTTATAAAACTTGGGCATGACTCAGTACCCTAGGTGAGAGGAGTGAGGTCTGAGCAGCCGGGAGGAGCTGGATGACCCACTGTGCTGTCCCCAGTGCATCCAGGACACGGCCCTGCAGGGCCCATGCAGTCAGTACAGCCGCTCCCAGGCCTGCCCACCTTCCCTCTCTCAGGCTTCCCTACAGGAACTTCAAGAATCCCCGTAGTTTCTTCCTAAACCCTATCCACGTACCTTCCTGCAGGTGGCTTTCCCTGGTGGTTTTGCTGTTGCCTGTGGCCACTCTGGGTCAGCTCATCAATTAATACAGGGCCTCTAATTTCAGAATCGGACCTTAGTAATGGTTTGGAAAATTTTTCTCTTACTCATTTTTTTTAAGTTTATTTATTTATTTGGAGCGAGACAGAGACAGTGCAAGTGGGGGAAGAGCAGAGAGAGAGAGGGAGAGAGAGAGAATCCTAAGCAGATTCCGAGCTGCCAGCGCAGGGCCTGACACGGGGCTGGAATTCACGAACCATGAGATCGTGACCTGAGCCCAAACCAAGAGCCAGATGCTTAAACCGACTGAGCCACCCAGGTGCCCCCTTCTTGACTTTTTTTTTTTTTTTTTTT